GAAATAAAACAAATCGAAAACAAAAACTCTTTCATTATAATCATAATCCGTAAAGATGCACTTCTCTAAAGGCGTGTCTAATGAAGAGATGGCGAGTCAGGATCGACAACTTCATCCTTGCGACACGGACTCAGAAAACACTCGTTTATTAGTAAATAACTCAAATATCTCCTTCCTCTTCATTTTTTTTTTACAATTGAAAGGTACTGTGTCATTTCATCAGTCAGTCGTGGAAGTCTGGTGGTTGATGGGCTTCTGGCAACATTAATTTCAGGAGAGAAGACAACTTTATAGATTCGAGTGCACAGGTTTGAGCGTGGTCCTGTTTTGTGCATTATATACTGTTAGATGTGTTTTGCCCACATCTCATATGTTGTATAATTATATCCCTAGTTAACAAAGATACATTAACAAAAACAAAACGAAAAAAACTTTTGGAAGGGCCTCACTGATTCACTTTGCCTGGGGCCCGCACTTCATGTAGGTACGCCTCTGATCACGTTAATAAACTCATCCTAAAGTTTCTGAAGTTGATGAATCCATAAACCCTCACAGATGTGCGGATCACGTGAGTCTCATCCGTCACTATCAGCACACTGACCTCAACAACAATACAGGCCACACGGACAGGAAATCAACATCAGCAGCCGCAGACACACTTCCTGTTTCTCCACTGGATCATCCGTCTCCAACACAAAGAGTCTTTCTCTTTCTCAGATGCTTGCTCTTATTAAACTGACAGTTAGTGCTTTTAAAAGGGTCATATGATGCCTTTCTCTTTGGAGTGTTACAAGCTCTTGGTGCATAAAGAAGATCTGTAAAGTTGCAAAGACTAAAGTCTCAAATCCAAAGAGATATTCTTTATAAAAGTTAAGAGTCAGCCACACCTACCTAAAACGGCTCGTTCTAACACGCCCCACATATCTACCTCACTATGTGGGAAGATTTGCATAACACCGCCCATTTGTTTACTATACAGGGCCTTAAACCACTTCATTTCATTACTGTACTTCTCGTCTTCTTTCTGTTTGTTCATATTCTTATTATTAATGTTATTGTTATTTTTTTTGAATCCGCCTTTTATAAGCATGTATGTGAACATTTATATACATATACATGAATATGTCTTCTACAAAGCTCCTTGTAAACATTATATATATATATATATAAATAATAAATATAATACATTGTTATATAAATCTACTTGTTTAATTTACTGTACACAAATTCAGCATCACTCACAGCATATGTTTGGTTTTCATTTTTTAGCTCAAATCATCTGAATCAACGAATTTGTTTTAATATTTAGAAGTGATATTTCGAGGGATTTGAATTTTTAAACCCGTGATTATTTACGTTTACTCTCAGAAAACATTGTTCTGTAAAACACGATTCGTCTCGTTTAATTTGTCCTCTCTCAGATGCCGTAGTAGAAGCGCATGCGCAGTGAGAGCGGTCGCTTCAGGGTAGCATGTAGTTGAGTTTGTTAACTGCTCTTTGAATTAAAAACATTATCATCTGATTGTATCATATCGTTATTATTATTATAAATATTATATCGCAGCTATATAAAAGCGTTTATAGGAAGAAGAAGGAAGAATACAAAGCGGAATGAATCAGTTTGAAAAGTAAGTTAGCGGCTAACGGCTAATTAAACCAATCACATCTGAATTTATGAACATTTAAACAACTACAGTTTCACGAAATTACCATTCAGTTAATAGTATAAATAGATGTAGGATATACAGTCATGATGAGGGTTCTATGTACATACATATACTGTATATATATATATATATAGTTCATGTATATTTAATATATGTATATATGTGTGTGTATGTATATTAGCATCACATCACCAAATCAACATATAATTGTAGCCTTTAAAACATTTATTTTATTTTTTAAAATAAAACTATTAACTATAACATCTGATTAATGTTATTAAATATTGTCCAATAATGTTTCAGTTTGAATGTCATAAAATGCTGATTTATTACCAATAAATGTTGTGTTTGTAGTTTAAAGGAGGAAGACTGTGGTGAGCAGGAGGAGATGAAGGACAGTAATGAGACTGACGGAGGATCAATAAACAACAACAACATGAGACGCAAGGTGAGCCGGACTCACACACACTCACACACACTCACA